AGCGTGTGCGTCGAATAGGGACAGAAGGAACAAGCGCAGGCGCCACAATCTTCTCTCAGGTCCATGCGATGTTCAGATAACTTCGTCGAACCTGGAACGACCGAATTTCAGTGACTGATGACTAGGGGCAATCAGATGAGTCAAATCTCGTCTCTCTCGGAAATCCCAAAAACACGCATCCTGGGACCTATTCCCTCCTGTCGAGCCTGAGCCGCCAACATCTAAGTTCGAAGATGAATCATTCACGGAATCCGGTGAGTTCCGTCCTATACCTGAACGCCGTCGGTGGATTGAAATCGGCTATTCGACCAGATTCAGTTTCATTCCTCTCGGGGTAGAATCGTGGGAAAGGCGTCCTCACGGGTCCAGGTGAATCCCCGACCGGGTAGGGCCCTCCATTGCATTCAGCTCTACGACTTTCCGCGGAATCCGGTATGGAGCCCTGCGTCGCAGAAGGCAACGAAAATCCGTAATTAATGACGGATCAAGCACGGAAGGACTTAAATTCTATGCTTTCTCGGTTTGAAGCCTCTGGAGGACTTCTAGGTACCAGGCCTATCCGGGTCCGTGATCCCCTTCTTCCGAGTAGTTTTCGAAATCCACTTAACCAGGAGGAACACATAAATCTGATCCCTTCATCACAAAAACACGAGCCGGGAAAATGGATCGACGCCCCACTGCACATAATTCAGATACGTCCTTCAAGCTAGAGGGAACTGCGCGATTTGCGGGAAAAATAAACACCTGTCGCCAGTTCCGCGCTACACGTGGTCCACTTTCGAGCGCACGGCGTTTTTGCTCAAGCATTCCCATCAAAGAACTCGTTTCCGAAAAAACAGGATTGAAACCTCGTGCTAGCTAGATCACTCCGATCGAATACTTACACTCGGCTCAGGGCTTATCTAACAGTATCCTCGAAAGAAGACTGGTTTCGAGAAGACGTCTGAGAAGCTCCAAGGAGATTCGAAAAGAAGGTGAAAACGTCTCGACAACACATCTCGATGTTCGGGAAGGCGATCGGCGGGACGTGCAAGATCGCGGTGGCGCCAAATTCGATAATCAGTCTCGCCAGACCATCAGATGAGCAAAGATAATTTGCTCGCTCGGTCGCTCTTCCCTTCCGAGAGAAGACCTGAGAGAACTTTGGAATGGGTGGACTCGAGGTTCAAGGTGTCGGATTGTTCTCATTTCTACACCCTCACTACATGGCGGGAGCTGCGGTTCCTTCCGACTCGACCAAAGGTGATTGCTCTACATGAGAACGGAATAGTCCCAGCTGAGACTGGATGAAATCACGCGTCCATTGCTGGGAATCATTCCCAGTACCCTTGTACCTGATGATGACGTGGAACCGAAAGTGGTTTTGCTTGTCTGAAAAATCGTATATGTGTGCTCAGGAAGCGAGATTTGCTCAGCTTCCCAGTATGAAAACGACAGCGTTCGCCTCTTGCTTCCCGAAGACATCGGAAAGAAGCCGACCGGCAAGATAGACAGCTATATTCGAGCGGTATCATCCCACGAGGTCCAGAACCGGATCATTGCCGTCAGGATCACGGACAACGTAAGGGGCGAAGAGTCGATCACCAGCCCTAGACAGTCGAGTAGCGCTCTTTGTTGATATCGAGAGGTCGGAAAGAGATTATCCGTGAGTCAATCGTCTCACAATTGAATTCTTATCGAATGGAGCCATGTATCAGCCCGTTCTTTCGCATACAATTGGAGCACAAGAGACGGGCTCTCCGCGTAAGAGCGAACCGCGTCGTCGTACGAGAGACGGCTCTCAGTCAGCGTAAGAGTGAATGGCGTTGTCGCACAATTGTTTACGAGAACATGCAATTGTCGGCGAGCATGATAACGGCGAGAGGCGAAAAAACGAGCGAATGCCCAATTGGTTGCTTTGACACGAATTCTAAGCGGAACTATCAATGCATAGCCGCCGTCACAGTTGACCAGACTGCGGCCTGATAGTTCGCTTCCAAGAATGACTTCCTCTCCGTATTCGCTCAGACAGGGTCGTGCCATCCAAAGCTCACGTCCCATGGCAGGACCGACGTTATTGACTTTCCTCGGTATGCCGGAAAATGGCAGACGTGGTTTTCCATGAAGTTCCGGTGGAACCGCGCGAGATGGGAAGAATCTCTATTGCGTCGATTCCCCAATCCGAATGAATTCAAGAATTTCCGAATTCTGTTGGGTCTGAATAAATTCGCTCGGCCCGTGTGAGAGAACTCCGAGGTCGTCGGCGATACGGATTTTCCAGAATAAACTTTGGAGAAGATGCTGAGAGTCGCTCCTACGATGCTCTTCTGAGGGATAGAGCAAACATTCCTAGGATTCTCGTCTCCTCCGGCTCCTGGTTGGACGGATCTCATGAGCGGCACGCCGTGAGACGGAGGCGAATATTTTTTCTCCGAGCCGGTCCCAGAGCAACGCTGTCTGCAGTTGTCTATCGTGTCACGCAGAGACGCGTGTTTTTCGTTCTCGGACGGAACGCGTTCTCGAAGCATGAATGATTTTAACAATTTGTCAGCGTCATAGGAGGATTGACAGTATGGGTCCTATCGGTTTCAAAGAGCTCGGACGTAGGCTCTTCGTATAATTGAAACAAAGGAAACGCTCGCTATTCGTTCCGGGGGAGGCGGGGGATTCTGCCGGAAGAAAAAAGGAATGATCTTCTGAGTGCTCGGAGCACCATCCGTCTCCCCTTGCCGATACGAAATGGATCGCCGGAATATTTCCCCAAATATAGATTCGCATGCCCATAAAGCAGGAAAACACGATTCATCATCGAGAAGTCGCATCAATTCGACTCTTCATGTCCTTCTCCGCGACATCAGAAAGCAGGTCGCGAGAGACGACTGGAAAATATAACAGAATTCACGGGAAACGTATGGATCCAATTATTCTCCCAGGAAACCTTGACAAACAAACATTCCTACCGTCACCCAGAAGTGACAAACATCGCTTGAAACAGAATGTTCGTTGAGGGAAGTGTACAAGGGCACGCCCTCAACCCCGAACTATTCGGGGGTGGACAGGAGCACAGAACGACTGACGAGCGTGTGGACGGACGGACAGACAGACCGACTGACCGACCGTCGGATCGGTGGACAAGCGAATCAACGCTGCCAGCCAGCCCATTGGATGCCGAATGCTGGAAATGAAGAGCTCTCACCGGTTGTGTCAAAGAGGGTGAAAGTGGTTCACCTCGCGTTCGCCGATGCGTCGACCGGATGCCAATTGTTTTACCCGGTTCGTCACCGCTACTCTGAAGGCTCGCGTCCGAATTGAGCGTCAGTCAGTCTGGTGAGCTTCATTTCACTACAACGCTGTGCAGCCATTGTCGACCGGAATAACAACTACCCTCCGTTCCACAGTATCGGTTGTTGTGCGTGCTGTGTAGATCGCTCCGAACAAGCGCCTTCGCAAGGCGGTGCTCGAGCTCGAACAAATCGTCTTCGGAAACTCGTACTTCGGCTTCTCGGATACTATGAGGATTTGATTTCTGCATGCGAGAGAGACGGTGCTTTGACTGACGAACACTGCCGCGCAATGTGTACGTGATTCTCAGCTCAGGAAAATTTACAAGGTTGGTTCCGCGTCGGGTATGCGGGAGAAACTCTCCGGGGCCTGGGCTCCGCTTTTATTCTCAGTCTGCTGCTCCATTGGGGGTTCACTTCACTTGGGGTTTCCAAGGGCTTCTTCCCTGACGCCGGCTGCCTGGAAAATGCCAGTGCTTTCGGGAAATCTGTATCCGCTATCGAGGGAGCCTGAAAAAAGAAGAAGAAAAAAATTTCTAGTCAGGTGTACCTAGTGACGGTCATTGTCCTCCGAGATAAGACGCTGGCGCTGCCGCCTCATCTGCATTAATTAAGGTTCGATGAAACTCTGATTCGGACAGAGTTTCAACAGTCTCCCGAAGTCATCGGAATGATGCGGGGTACGCCGACTTCCAGATAGTGCGGTTCTCGGAGATTCTATTCCTCGTGGTCATTCGGGAATCGCTGTGAGCTCGAGGGAAGCTGTCTACCCAGCGAAGCTGTGGCCTTGTGGGGCGGGTATCGCTTGCACAAAGACCTTATCAACCATATCGTTCCTCGTAGTCTCATATTCAAGATGGAGCGCGGGAACGCTGAATTTTGAGCATGAAATCCCTGCAATGATCTTGCTACACCTGGAAGTCGTGCTTCCGCCATGAAATGAGCTTGAAGACAATCGACGATGCATGATCCCGCAATGGATTTTCTGTTCAAGACTCGACCGATAGAATCGAAACCTCGCTCTGAGGGACAAGTCTCCAACAAGACACTTATCCAAGAAAGAAGTGTCCTGGCGATTGAGCTCAGGAGACACGCGAACCGTCAGTAAGCAGGGCGTAACCGGATCGCGGACACTGAAGAAGAAAGTTCCCGTACCGCGGAACTCAAAAATGATTCGATGAGTCGTTTGCATGACTTGGCACGTCATCTCCCAATCAGAGTCCCGACGCCTGTGAGATCGGCAGGAGCCTTCTTCAAACAACAAAACGTTCTGACATGGCGGATGAGCCAAATCGGCCACGTCGCGCTCCCTCAAGTGAACGAGTGCTCCCCGAGTCCAACGGGACGTCGCCGGAGACCATGGGGTACATTCCAATATTTAGTTTCTCTGAACAGATGACTGTTGTCAGTTGCAGAGGCTTTCCATACGACATCAGCAGAAGCATATCGATGCTGTGGGAGAAAAATGAAAAATTGCGAACAAGGAAGGCTCTCCAAGATAAATAGCAGTCGCCAGAGCGCATAAAAAGTAACCGAATCCATGAAAACATTCCGCTGGCGGGCCTCCAAGGTCACCTCGTGTGGGTAGCTGAGGAGAACGGGTACGATTGTTCCGGTGTTCAGGGAGCTGGCGGGAAGGATTCCCAGACCCTGACGCGTTCGATGAATTCGGAAGACGGTGAGAGGGTTGGAGAACTTTTCGGAATAATTATTTTGAATCGCTTTTTTCTAACGCTACAGATGCGACTACTCGTCGTGGTAGCAACGGCATCGGCGTGTATGGCCCTCTCTTGGGCGCAGGCGTCGAAAGGTCTCAATAACACCGAAGATTGTGATTCATCCGAGGAAGAGAGCGATGAGGACGCCCTACGGAGACACGAAATTGCAAGAGCACAAGCCAGAGCAGCGGCTCAGGCCCGGATGGTGGCTCTCGGTGAGTGCCCGAGTAATAATTTCTTCTGAGGCAAACTGAGTCGGCCGCGCAGAAAAGCGGCTCACCATGAGCTTCTTCCCAATCCGTCAGAAGCCTGCGCCGTGCCCAATCCTCGCACGCTGCAGGAATTGAAGCGGGATAGAGGCTCAGCGTTTCAGTTAGTACGAAGCGGAAAAAAAATCCAAGAGAGATTTCCCGCGGAATCCTCGAAGGAGTACTTTGATTACAGGCTTGAGACCGGCGAAGACTTTGCCTAAGAAAGTCGATGATGTAGAGAAACAGGCTCAGACCAGAGTGCGACACAAGGTCATACTTCCCGGCGCGCGAGCGCAAAATGAAGATGATCGGCTAAACATCATACCGGTGAAGGATTATTTGGTGAGTGCTTCAACTTTGACGGCCTTCGTCGTACTCTCAGAAAGGATGCAAGATTGTCTCGCCGCAGTTGGAGCGGGGAGAGGGAGGAAAATCCCCGTTCGTTTGAAATCGATCCTGGAAAGCTCACAGGTGCTTTCCAGTAGCTCCTGCTTTGGTGAAGCGAGTCTGAAATCTTTGCTGTCAACCCATAACGAGCGCACAGTGTATCCAGCCAGCCGTCAAGTCCGTGATGATTGCGCGACGTCCCGCTATGGAACGAACAAATGGAATGATTCGTTCGGTAGCTCCCACTCAGCTGCTTTTGGAACTTGCCTGCAAAGCTCAGTGTCAACTCCACTCCACTTGAAGCTTTCTCTTCTGTGTCGTTCCGCATAATTGCTGCCGCCGTTGGGGTTCCGCGCGTCCCCCGATGATGGCAGAGCTCCATCTGCACATGGGGAAACTGTGGAGAACCCTCGCGAGAAACGAATGACACGAGCATTCATTTCATTGTCAAAAGAATTTTGACGGGTGGTAGGGGCAGGCTGGTTGGGGGAATTTTCACCTTCGGAAATCGATTCAGGTTTTGGAACTCGGAAACCTCTGCGGCGGTCTCGTTGAATGCCCCAGAGAATCTCCCGCTGGGAATGTTGCGTGGGGAACTAGGTCAGCGCATGGCCACTGGCCACTGATTTTATTCTCACAAAAAATTATTCGCCCCGAGCTCGATGGGCGCCCAGAGATCCGAGTTCCACAACTCAGAGGTTTCAAGAAACTACTTCAACCTGAGGGGAGGAGTCTGTGGGCTTCTATTGGCTTGCGCGGAAGTAGATGCTGTCATCAGAGACGATCGCTTCCCGTCGAGTTCCACGGATTCAATGTCAATGCCTTTGATTGACTCTCAGTCGGCCCCATCTAGGATGCCCGAGCTCTTATCGCTTATGCTGACTGAAGCAGTCAGACAGCGATCCGCGCGAACTCACATCCTCAATCCCCCAAAAGCTCACAGTGGTTGACAGTGATTTGTCGCGCGAGCGGATTGTGCTTACCCACGTTGACAATGAACGTGACAGCTAAGCAAGTAAGGGGAGCTTAGTGGCACGCGGGTTAAACACGAGTGTGTGAGCCCTTAGAGAGCGAGCTAGACTTGGAACGAATGAGGAGGGAAGACTAAGACCCTTTCTGAGAACTGTTCGGAAATGCCAGCTCACTCTCCCTCCCAACGGCTTCCACCGAGGATCTGCACGGGGTCGCCGTCCAGTCGCTTCGCGCTTTCAGGACATCGCGAGGTTGGTTCTTTCGTGAAGACGGCTGCCCGATTGGATCAAAGCGAGCTCTGATGGCTATCTGAGTGCTTCATTGGCACCAACGAGGCCCAAGGGCAGCGTGCTTGTCCAGTCCGAGAGACGTGGACCTGAGGAGTCCAGCCGAATGCACCAGGAGTGCCTCGGATCTCCTATCGCCATCCTTGAGACATGCCTGTCTTTGATACGAGAGGCAAAGTGCTTTCCGACATGGTTCTACGTCCATCAAGCGTCACTGCTCCGCCTCCTATGAGGGAACATGCCGGGAGCTGTGTCGGGTAGCGGTAGGATTCACTTTCGACGAGAGAAACGTCGGAATCGTGATCGTTCTTTAATCGAGATCCGGGGTGATTCATTAGCAACGATCGAACCATGGCTAATAATTAATTTCTCCCTCCAACGACCACGCGATGACTCGAATCGCGTGACAGTATGTAGTCAGGGCTGTCTCTGTTCAGCATTCGAAGAGAAACGTCGACAGCGACTCTTTCTGTGCTTGACCCGTAGGCTCGATGACAAAAGGAGTCGCTCGACTGCTGAAAAGACTTTTTCGTCCCCGGGAGCGGGAAACTTCGAGGAGCGTACTTCGCGAAGCGAGCGAGAGACCTTCTCTGGACTGGAATGGAGATTCGATGACGAGTCTCGATTCCTGGCGGTCGTCGAGGATATCGTTCCAGAAACGGCAGATGGACGGGATATTCCGTTTTTCAATTCTGTTTTGAATTCCTCGATCTCGGGATCTCGACCCGCGGCCGGTGAGAGGCCGAGGCGTTCTGCTTCGAAATCAGGCGCGGGATTCCATGGATTACCGAAGAGATTGCTCGGAAAGAGAGAGGAGGGACTCTTCATTTTCCGTTTCGCGACGTAATCAAGCCCGAGGGTTCTCGTCCAGGGGGAGACATGACAAGGGAAGAACCCGCTGTCTCCGATAAGAGAGATTCATGGTCTCTCCTCATTCGGTCCGGCAACAGGAGAGCCCCCTGTTCTCAACTCATTTTCGGGAGTTGAGTGGGCGCCCCCGCTGGAGCCCAGGAAGAGACTGAAGGAAATTACAAGGCCCGGAGGAGCTCACCAAGGAACCACTTCCCCACGTACTAGGTCTTCTGCTCTATCACCGACCTCGATGACCGTGCCCTTAATTTATCCCGCGACGGATCATCGGCGAGACGATCGAGGTAGACGGAGAAAATGTGCGATTGATTTGCTCTTCGACTCACTCAGTGATCCTCAAATCGAGCAGAAGCGGAAATAAGAAGCGACGTCTGATCGACTGGAGATTCTCGTCGCAGAGCGAGGTGCGGGACTTCAGGACATCAGAATGAATTCACTATTTGAGTCGAAGAGACGATCCGGGAGGTTTCCTCGCCACAGGGGAGTGTTAGAACTCCGTGTGCTTGAAACTGCGTGGAGAAAGCAAAGCAAACCGTCGACCTTGAGCATTCTGAGTGATTTGCCGGTGGAAATCAACTTTAAATGCGAGTTACTGGATCTAGTCGAGAGCTCCTCTGTGAGCTGTTTGGAACAGTCTGAAACGTGCGCCTCGTCATCGTTACCTTCCCCTCTCTGAAGTTTCTTCCCGCGGACACATAACCCCAGCGGAAACATCAGGGAACACGCGGGAGCTCTCATGGGTCTCCATGTAATAGCTCTCCCGTGAAACGGTCATTCTCTTAGGGTAGAACATGGTGGTTCCCGAGTGCGGCTACGCCGCAGGGTTTCCAAACAAGCGCAAGCACGTGTCGTGCGGTGGAACACCGCTTGCCCAAGGGATGTCCGTCTGTGTATTGGAGGGAAGGTCAACCACACGAGGAGGAGTCTAAAAATTTGACTTGCAAACTCAACACGATGCGCGACCAGAAGAGAAGGAGGAGATGAAGAGGTTCCGGAGGCGGACGAAAGCGAGCAGTATACGGAATATTTCGAATGTTCTCTCTGCAAACACTTCCCATATTCTTTCCTGAGCTCCGTATTCTATTGGATTCCAGACCCGCGAGAAACGTCAAGAGGACGAAGAGGAAGAGGACGAACTCACGAGTAAGTAACTCAATCACCAGAGAGGGAGGACAAGCAAGTCGGAACGCATCTCCGGGAATACTGCGACGAACACGAATGTCAACTCTAAGCCCTTGTCCCACAGAGCTTTTGCTACTCCGGCCTTGCCGGGGACGATTTCGGTTCGGGTCGAAAATTGGTAAAATGCGGAATCCTCCTCATCCGAATAACCTTGAGTCCATTGTTGCAGAGCTCATTGAGAAGCCGGAACCGTGCGATTTCGGTACCGGCGAAGAGCCGCGAACATGTGGCTGGGCGAACACACCGAACGTGACCGCGGCGCGCAGTATACCGTGGGTGATCTCCAGAGGAGACGATGCTCTGTACAAAGGAGGTCCGCGAACTGACCATACCGAAAACAACGGCGCAGGTGGGTTATAGAGCAGGGATAACGCGACGCAAACTGTCCTTCTGTATCTCTTTTGTTCTCTCTAAGCTCCTGTCTCTCAAATGCTCGCTGAACCCACGTACCGAAACCGGCAGAATCCCACTACAATGTTCCCAAATGCTGCCGACCTAGTTCCTGTTGAGAAACGCTCGACGGAGGAAAAATGGCTTCGGATATCGCAGGAAGTGGACGACTTCCTTGATAACAGTTTTAATGAAAGTCTCCACGAGCCCATCGAACCATCAATGAGTTGGAAATTTTGAGCGTAATTGCCAAGTTTCTCGTCGGGCCCCCGGCCGCTGGGCCCCCGAGAGAGAATATTTGGAACGCGCCCATGAAGCGGATCCATCGCAAACAGACGGTGGGCGACCGCGCGACATGGAAGAATTGAAGAATCCGATATTTTCCACCGTTAGGGAAATTCACCCCAGGCTAGTCCCGCTTTCTTTCCGAGCCCCTACCATTGTTCTGCAAAGAAAGCGGAATCGAGAGTCGAAATCGGATTGCCTACTGGCACACGACTCCGTAAGTCTACGTGCCGATAATCCCTCCGGCTTTCTTTCGCTAACAATGGAGTCTTCCGAACTTCCGGAGACAGGATCAAAGTTTTTATCGAAGCCGACGTCGCTTTCACTTTCAAACGTAACTCCTCGCCGACCTCCCTCCGACGATTCCTCGAGACTACGCATACGTATGTATACGTTTGATTTTCTTTATCTCTTGTGCGACCCGGTCGAAAAGGGAGACAGAGCGACAATTCTTGCGCGTCGCTGCGCACAAAAAAATATTCAACGACACCCTGCTAGAGTTTCCAGGGACGGCGGCTCAAGAGCACTTGCGGCTCCTTGTTCTCTTGCACGACGAGCCCTCCGGAAATAGGGCACGGTGGTTCCGGAGTTCGATTCTGATCCATGATAAGCTGCACGCACTACGAGGTCGAGTCATACGGCCGACGAACCCATTGTTGTGTTTTTTGGAGATCCGAATCCCGAGGGAGCGGCCGTCAGGCCGAGGCGAATCGAAACTCGACCCCGACAAGCCATCAAGTGCTCGGTTTCATAACATCAATTCAAAGAGATTAACGGTCCGCTACGACAATAGGAACTGTTGTTATGCAAAACGTGTAGAAATCGTTTTTCCCCCTGTTGTCGTATCACTGCTCGAAGTTTCAACAGCCAGCTCTGCGAAGCGGCAGAGGCTATTGAAAAGTGAAGGTGGACGTGTCTGTCTGGACGGACTTTCAAGCCATGTTCGCGATCAACGCAAAACTGTTATGGCACGAGTTTCGGTGCGTCACAAAGTGTTTCCGCCGGATGCGGTCCAACGCTTGAGTTGGAAGTTTAATTGGAGAAGACGCGACTTGTTTTTCATGATCCTCGTCCGACAGAGGCGACAGTGGCCGCCGGAGCAGCAGCTGGGGCCGTCCCGGCTGTTGTCTTCCAGTTCGAAGTTTCTTTAATACCGCAGACAGGCAGCGGCGAGCGGACCGCATTGAATCGCCCGAATCTCTGGTAGTCCGCGCAGAATCGAGGGGGTCTTCGCTTCCCAACCGAGGCCGACACGTCGATGCCCTATTTCTAGGGATCCTCGCCTATTTGATTGAAATGCGGCGATCGGCTTCAAATTCCAATTCGTTCGATGGGAATTTTCATACATATGATCTTCCCTGTAAGGCTAGTATGCCGTCAATCTCTGCCGGGGAGGGAGGGGGGCGAACCGCGGCTGGTTGTATCACATGGAAGAGTCGGTGATTTCCCGAAAAGACCGCTCATCCATTTCCGACACGGATGTGCAGTACCAGAAGTCAATCCGAGATCCGAACGGACGGATGTTCTGGTCTTCAGGCGAGAGCACGCGGGGGAGCTTTGTTGGCCTAAAATAATTCGGTATTTTATAAGCGACTGTTGCCGCTCAAGTTATAGATTTTTCGTATTTTCATTTTATGACTTGGCCTCTCCTTCTCTCCTTTCGGCGGAGGTTTTATACGCGAGATTGAAGTACGGCTAGCCTTAGAGAACTGCTTTATAGATTGTATAATAATAGCAATAATAGCGTACGACACCCAGATGAGCGCTCATGTTCATTGTCGGTTTCAAGCCGTCCTCGACGTCTGTCGTTGGAGCATCATATCTCCATTCGAGGTCGTGAGATTTCTGAAAGCCGAGATTTGCGCAGGCGAATATAACGACTGCATCTTACGTGAGATAATGAATCGGAGAGCAAAGGACGGCTAGGCGACAAGGTGGGCTGAATCAGCCTCCGCTACGTCAACAGGCTGAGTGTTTCCGAAGCATTAGTGAATAATGAATCAATTCCTTACACCACTGCAGGTGGCTACATCTACTTCGAGACCTCGAGGGAGCCTCCTAGACAACCACCGATTCTGCTCGGCGGAACTACGTCAACCGAATCCAACAACATCGACGTGGGGAGCGCCGGACAGGGCGGAAATCAACATCACGTTATCTCATATCCTGAGCCAGCGAATGATTTCGAGTCGGCTGTGCTTGCGACAAGAAATATTTCTGCAACAGGCCCGCAGGTACGCTTTGTCCTGGAAATAGTTACGCAATCAGGACTCCGCTGCTGAATATTCAGAGCGCTGCACTAGCCAGAGCTCTGATTGCAAAATACGCTGCCGTTAGCAAGACAAGGAGGTAGGGTCGTAAAAACTCTGAACATTACCGAGCCGAGGAGTGGGCGGAGCGGTAAATTATAGGTTTGGGAGACGAAGCTCGATCGTTGCACAAATAACGAAGAACCCACGTCGCTTGCGACGATGGAGGAGCAGAAGTTTCGCCCGCTGAACTCGTTCTCGACGCTCAAAATCTTGTACCATCCAGCACCAAGTTTCTCCAGCCGAGTGGGAATTTGATAAAGTAATTATCGATCTGAAAGTTTCAAAACTCTGATTTCAGGGATTCTGCATCTCGTTTTTCTACGCTGTCGAGGGGCTCAGTGTGGACAGACTACGAGTTGTGATCATGGACGTCAACACCTTCGAGAATATCACTGTGTGGGAAAGTGACGACAACTTCGACGGAAAATGGCAGAAAGGCGAAGTTGCGTACACGTACGGTTGGCCTCATCAGGTGAGCAGATTCCCGAGGTGGAGATTCGCGAGTTTCTACCCACGATCTCCCTCCGAGCTTCCGCGAAAGGCTCCGTCGAACCTTGGGGCGAGAGTCGGACCAGAGTTGCTCGTCTGAGCATTCAAGGAACCGAGTCTCCGGTAAGAGCGGATTGTTGACTTCGGATGTCTCGTGTTTCCCGAGGACCAGCCGATCCGGGAATCACGAGCCCCTCTCGAGAGTCTGCTCTCCGCAGCTTGGAACCCTCCCGTCGGCATTCCCGGGAATGTTCCTGAAAGAAATAGGAACCGTCCGAGCATGGTTTAATGCGAAAGTTCCACGAGGCTCCCCGAACGGGAGAGCCGATCCAGAATATTCCACGTGCGAACTGCGATGATGGGGTCTGCAGGCCTTGCCGTGGTGCTCAATTATTTGCGAGCACGCCGTGCGTGCGGGCATTCATATATCGGTTAAGCTACCCTAGACGCTGACGTGGGGCCTGCGCCGATCTGAGTGAATGAAATTCATGGTTAGCTGGAAAAAAATCCCGTCTCGCGTGGGTATCATCCATCCATACATCGGCACCTCATGGAGGACTCCACTAAAAGCGTGTCGAAATTATTCATCACTCGGACACCGAGCACGCGGCGGGCTTATCCAATTCGCGTGTCGAGCTTCACGTTCGCTCCGCTTTTTTCTCTTCCGTCGCACTTACGATGACACAGAGAAATCGTCTTTGATTCTGAAGGAGACGTTTCGGGTCTGTTTTTGGGATCTAGATTATTGAATCGAGGATCACTTCTTCTCGAGACGATAATCTGCGGCGCGATACCGGAGCGGCCACAAAGTTCCGAGGTCCTCGGTCCCGAAGGAAAACTCAAAAACTTCACTGCCGGTATAAAGTCTGCGACCGGATACTGGAGGTCGTACCGAAACCATGAGCTGAAGCCGCGAAATCTCGTAATGAGATCCTAGGCGCTTCCGCTGCCCGTTAGTCAGCTCGCTAGTGAGGCTCCCGCCTTCATCTCAAGAGCACGTGTCTCCGTTCCATAATGAATGATTGCCAATCATTATCCTGCGGACGAATAACGAGAAGAGAGAGAGGAGGCATCACTCGTTGCCCGAGCGTCTTCACGCTGGAATCAATTTTTTTTCACGCCGTGAACGGCCTTCCTTGACCTCGACTGCCGGAGAGGGAGACTGTCGTCGTCCTCGACTTTGTACGAGATTGAAGGGAGTTTGTACCGACCGGCGGCGGCAGCGGCGCGGCGGTAAAATAGTTCGAATTACCGAAATTGCAACGAACCGAACCCAGTTCGCCGGGGAGGGCCCCTAGATGTCTCTCGTAGAGTTCTACGCTAACTAGACACAGCCCGCTGTGGAATTCCGAGCCAACAATCCCAGTTAGCGGAGATATTTCTGGCGGGTCCATCTCCTTTGTCGCACCCGGATTTTCTCGGCTGAGCCCGATGAGGAATTCGACTTGATATCGGCAAGCGGATACGAGCCCTCATTAGAGCGCAGTGCTGACTCCGCTGAGTCGGTCCTCGAGAACAGAGTCGGAGGAACTCTCGCTTCCCGGCTCAGCGTCCTTCGGCGGTCATGAATTTTCGAATCGATGCGCAGCGATGTGTAGTTCGGATCCAGGAGCTTGCGGCGATCGTGTTGAGTCAGAGCGAAAGTTCTTCCGTTTCGGTCGCAGAACGTGAAGGTGTCAAAATTCGCTCCCTCGAACAAAGTAGCAACCTCCTGATCGAAAGGAACGGAACTGAGGTAGATGAGCTGCGCCAACGGACATCCCGGGCGCGGTTTTCCTCGGTCGCCGATTCGGATCGCATCCGAATCCGGACGTGCTTTCCGACCACGAATCTCCCCCGTCGACTCGTGTGCAATCCTGGCTATCGACAGCTTCTAGAATTTCTTTACCTCCAGCAAACATCGAGCGAGACGTGATTCTGAATCGAGTGCGCGTCGAGAGGATCCTGTCTCGAGCGTTGATGTTATGCGTTCAAAGTCCACACGCACGCTCAGCTCAGATTGTCCGCCGAGCGTGGATACCCTCCGTCTAATCAGGAAGTGTGCGAACGAGGAGCTGGACGAGCAGCCCGCCTTCTCTCAGCCTCGTCAACCCGCGTCGCTAACTCCAACCCAGGAACATTTGGATTCCTGCGGCAACTCGGAGGTTTCCGCGCCCGTCTGAGCGAGGATGGGTGTTCAGCCGGCGGTTCGGTCGACGAGCTTGTCATCTACGGACATCTGCATCCTGATGATGTCCGCTCCGTATACTGTGGGGTGTCACATGGATTTCTACCCACACCGATATGGTCGATTTGCGAAGCGGATACTTCTCTCGGGGAAATTTTCGCCGGAGTCTGTATGGCGAACGATCCGGCGGTGACAATAGACGGCGCCAGCATGATGCTGACCGAGAGCTAAGTTCACAAGTTACTGACGATATGTCAACCTCGACTCCAAAGGACGAGTTTCGCAGTTTAAGTTCGGCCAGCAGTAAGGCTCGATTCTGCACATTCGACTTCGAAAACTTCCGAAAACTCCACTTGCGAAACTAAGAATTGAAAGAACAAATCGATCTGGGCTATCCTTGGACTCGGCGTCATGGGGGGGGGCACGTTTTGCGCACCTGATATTCGAAAATTGCATCGGGGCAGCTCAGAGAGGCCTTGGCGGAGTTCCAGGCGGAGGACGCCAACAAATTCCTGGCTCTTCGAAGTCTCTGCAAGAAGAATAATTGCGCTCGTCGGGAAAATCGACTCTTTTCCCGAAGTTGGGATTAACCTGGGAAGCATTATCAGAAGAAACTCCGCGAGGCTGGGAAGAGGGATAGAATTCAGTCTAGTCGGAAGAGCGCCGCAACTGGCGGTATTTTCGCAGCGGTGAGGCTCTCTTTGGGTGTCCCTCAGTTGTTGCCTTAATAGGGTCGAGAATTCATGAGGCAATATTAATCCGGGATTCCTGCACTTTCTCATGCCGATCTTCTTGTCGTCGCTAAGCGGGACCCTGGCGGAACGGACTGTCTTGCGCGTCCTGTATGAATCATATCATTATACGCTAGCCTCGGAAGCCAAGAGAAACCCGACCAGCCCGGGAGCTGAACTCTGAGGGAGGTCGACCGATGGCGAGGGAACATATGTCTGCAGAGATCGGAACGAGCGCGGTCAGCGAGACATACGAAACCATAATTGAACCGGAGACTTCCTCCAAAGTGTATCGAACGTTGTCGCAATCTTCAGCGTCTCTTTTTGCTCTCACTTAGCCACGATGCGATTTTTTCGTTCTTCGCTAGATGGAAGGAAAAGGCGGAGAGCGATCCGTCGCGTCGTCATTTCAATAACGTGCTCTCGCTCCTCTCTTTGCGTAGGTTTGGTTCGAAGGGATTCCGAAAAGGACCGGAGATTCAACGCGTCGCTTCAGAGGTTTTATCGCTCTCGACGATATCGTATTCGACCGGATGGGCGAAGCCGGAGACAATTGTCTCGGCCATTGTACGTTCGAAGGAGGTTTTTGTGGATGGACTAATGCAGACACGGGTATGACTTCACTCTGTTCTCCAATATTGTCTTCCCGAACGGAGCAGTGAGCTGCGAATTTTTATGATACGGCTTCCTATCGGAGTTTTGAAAAAAAAACGCTGTCATCGTAGGAGACGACTTCAACTGGGATCAAGGACGGGGCTCGCAGAGCTTCCTCACAGGACCCCAGAGAGATTATTCCTCGTTTGGTAAAGATGAGAGGACCGGTGGCTACATCTACATCGATTCGGCTTATCCTCGGCGACCTCAAGATAAGGCGCAACTCATAAGTCCTACGCTCAAAGCTACAGGTAAATTATAACCCAAGAGACTCTAATTCATTTCGTAGGTTGGGATTTCCCATTTCTTTTTCTCCTCCAACCAAACCTGGAGAGCCTGTTGATCTGCTCGAGTCGGCGGAATGATTCCTTGGGAACTCTGCCAAATACCTCAGAAGACTTCGCGTTCGCTCGGGAATTCCGAGTTTCCCGGCGGAGTCCGAACGCGCCGAATGTACGTCGATCGGATATCCCGAGCGAAGCGTGCCGTAGAGTGCTCATGAAACTGTCCACAGAACGGACTGAAAGGCGACGTGCGAGAAATTGCAACCTGGTGACGGAGCTGCGGCTCTGCTCGGAATCACTCCTCTTCACATGAAGGCGGTGTCGCAATATGACTCCGCCATGTGTTCGCGGAACACGAACCGCGAATCCCATCGGAGCGCTCCCTGGTCATATCTGCTGAATACCGCATCATCTGTCAGCTCGGGAGCTGGACAGCACGTTGACTGCATGAGAACTCCACGAGAGCAGCTCTCACTTCAGTGAGGACTACGGGATGTACGCGAGAATACAGCGCACTTCGTGCGATCGAACCCATTCGCTTCGGAGTAGGCCAAGTGAGCGGGTTTCTCGGCGGAGAATCCACCACAAGTTTCCTTCCCCACTGACGAGGAATATGTATGAGAACAGGACCAGATTGCTCCGTACCTCCGGAATGCTCAACGGGACCGCGGAGAAACTCTCCGGAAGGACCGGTCGGAGGATGCAATGCGGACCTGAAGGGAAAGTTGCGTGTTCCCAGGAGGGGAGGTCCGAAAATCCGAATTGGAACACAACCTTGCGGAACCAGCCCTCCGGCGAACATTCCTGAGTTTCCACGGAATCATATCATGCTATTGCGAGAGGCTCGTGTTTCATACGTCTCGAGCCGAACATCATCCTGCGAACCTACTCTCGCCAATTTGAATTTTCCCCGATCACCCGATGCGCGCCGCCGTCTACCTTCCACTTTCAACGGGGCACGAAAAAACATGTAACTTCCCCGAATCGGGCTCTTTAGGATCAAAACTCGGATTTTGACTGTGCGGGAACCCAGAGATACTTGCAGCCAAGCTCGCGTCACCACCATGAGCGGATCCTGCGTCGAGAAAGGGTCGGAGCATACGACCGCCCGCCATATCGTTCCCGTAAATCCTTCATCCTAGCAATTTCTCGGCAAGAAATAGTTCAGGAGAGAAATAGGAGAGTTTCCATTTCAGAAGAAGGGTCGCGTCTGGTGTTTGTTCAACGCTTTTGAATTTCAGGAGCAAACAACCCAATTTGCATGAAATTCGCCACCCACATGTTCGGCAATGGAATCGGAACGCTCAGAGTGCTTTCGCGCAAAGAAGGAACCGATGAGCCACCGAAGACACTCTGGGAAATGTCCGGCGAAGCTACCAATCAGTGGTAAGTAGACGTTGCAAAGGTTCCTCCTCCTTCGCTTCTCCTGAACAGCTCTTGCTCCAAGTTGGCGTGCGAGCCCTGCTTGCGGTCGAGCAGAGAATTGCCGCGCAGGCATGCAACTCCGAGAGGTTGCAGGTTCCACGGGGATCCTGCCGTGGAAATTGTCCCGGGATAAGTATGTTTATGAATCATTCCCACAGCGCGAGCTCGGCCAGGGAATTATTCCGAAGATTGGTAGGGACGACGTGGGCTCGCCCAAGAGTGCTACAGAAAATATTTACGTGGTATTGATTGCCAAGAGATTGAATAAAGTCTGTACCCGGACATTAGAGACGGTGGTGTCACAAAAATGCGGATCCCGACTCCGAAAGTACACGGTGGATTCGCTCAGACGAAGACCCTCTTCGAAAGGGTCTGTTGCTCACGAGTTCCGAGTTCCCTCCGAAGGCGCCATTATAGCAAGGCTGAGCGAACCTTTTGTCGTCGAAAGTCCGAAGGCATGTCAAACACCTTCCACCAGCATCCGGTGGCTGCATAAAAAGGGTCGTGCGGCGGTTCCGAACCCCTGATTCCTTCAATGAATAGAGCACATTCCCGAAGCTCACAGGTGATCGGACATCAATGTCCGGTCTAAGCTCCTCACAAGCCGAGAACGCTAACATCGGATTCGTTTCCAGGTATCTCGCCCAGGTGCAAGTAGCTTCTATAGAGCCCATTCAGCTCGTCCTTGAGGCTACGGTCGGTGCGAACTCCTTAGGGAACATCGGGATCGACAATATCTCGTTCCGTCCAGGAACGTGTCCAAGTGAGCAATTCTCTGGAACAATCTTATACCGTGGCAGTATTGTATTGTATTATTATTGTATCCTTCATGATTTTTATTCCGGGGACGATTCGACCTCTGGGGAAGCTAATGCGGCTGAACTATCTCGGCCGAAGTCGCACACCGCCTATATACATGAATGTGCGTCGCTTCGCGCCTTTGCATCTTGTCGGAGACGACTCGGCCGATCGCGGTTTTCGCTTGACGTCCCTCAATCGCGCAGCTCTGGAAGGACTTTGCGGAGAGCGAGATCGATATCCGGTACAGAAATCTCGGAAATCTTCAAATGTCAGTGCACAGGAAGACGCATCCGCACAGCCACGATTCCAAAAGCGGCGGATTGAGATTCGTATCGATCATCGTCTGCAAATGCATGACGATAGTGTTCCCGACGCGCCAAGCTCCTCCATTGCTCGGTTCTCCATTGGATTAGTTCGCTTCGCGAGTCGGCCGGCATCTTTGTTCACTCAGTCACCGGGGGTCGGCGGGAGCTTGCTTCCCGCGTTCGCTACAAGAAAGCGCGCGGAACGAATCAGAAATCAAAATCGAATTCCAGAGCAAGACCGACTGAGCAAACTTTCCAGCGCGAATAGGAGCGCCGAACCGAGAATTCGTTCGTGCCGGTGTCGGACCGGGTAAAGCGCCGCGCGGTCTCGCTCTATACAGACGGAATTCTCCAAGCGCGGATTCTCTTTTTTCCGACGGGTGTACGACGCCAGACACCTGAAGGTTTCCAGTTCCATGATTCTCCTCCTGTATCGAAGTCTCGAATGTTCGGTGCAAGGGAGGATGCCACAGAGTGAGATCGGCGCACTGTTCGAATGCACGAAGACTTGGCAACAACGGGGACTCGTTCGCGTGAGAGAGAATATACAGAGAGGTAATACATACAAACGGGCGTCGGCGAAGTGCATCTCTGTATTGTGGTCACTGTAGCGGATCTATCCTGCGCAGGACGGTCTGACGGCTTCTAGTCACAATGACCAAGTACTCCTGAGGGGATCGTCTTATCAATCCGCCGGACTTTCCTGGAGAAAGAGCTTCTTTCTCAAGGGTTTGCTGCACTCGTGCGGTCCATAAAGCTCCACAGACCCCGGAAACAAGTTAATCTTCATAGGCTGCTGCCCACACAGCACGCGATAGCGCGTCGTCTGCCGCAGCGGTATCAGGCGACACGCGCACGTCCTGATCAGACGGAAGAGGGCTCTAACCTTTTGATTGGGGTAACGAGAAACCGAACATGCTGCGGGATGATGGAACCGGAGTCGTCGGATGAACACTCGGGAGGAACTCGACACCGAGGAACACGAGCGTCGATCAAACTTGTAATCGGACGCCAAGGAAATGGAATTCAAGGAAAGCTCACCTGTCTCTCGCGACAACGGAGTCACAAACAGCCCCGTTCGGAAAATTATCAAGCGGATGGCTGCGAGAGCGAAGTTCGGTCTGTTGTTGAAATATCGGAAGTAGACATGTCCGTACCGAAAGATTTGGCAACTCACGTATCGCTCGGACGGAGCAGATGGGCGTCGTCGTCCTAGCTCGTACTTATTTTCTTCAGTGGCGTGTGCCAACAGATATGTGTTGTGCAGTCGTCATGTTTCGTATGATCCGCTTGCCTCGGTTCCTCGAATGTTCTCCGCACATCCTCGCCGCTCGTCTCAGGACCCAGATGCACTGGAATCGATCGGAGGGATTTTCCAGGAGACGCGTCTGGAAAAGATGATTCGAGCCGACGAATCTCGCAGGCTTCAAGCCCGACGTACGATGAGCAGTTCGTTTTGAGCACAGACGTCGGCAGTATCGGAGCAATCGAGGGAAGAAACGAGTCGTAGGAGATTGAGTCGGCGCCATTCCAAAACAATTGAGCTGGATAAGACCCCCGCCTCCATCTCGTTTCCGAATGATTGAATGTCCTGTAGAGGATAGGTTTCTCCTCGCTATAAATATCTTTATGCAAGATCCTCCCATCAAGGGAATTCCTTGGAAATCTCTTCCATAATTTCCCGATTGGCAGGAAGGGTTCCGGCTCAGCCGAAGGCAACGGAAAGCCCAACCGAATACATAGTGGGAAAGTTCCGAGGGAAGAGTTCGTGTTCTCATCCATACAGTGACGATGTGAGATTTGGAACAACAGCGTCGGGTTTATTCAGTCAGTGAATCAGACAAGCGGCGTCCTGGCGGGCATCCGAGGCAGGCCTGGAATCGCGGGCATAGTCCGGGGCTTCGGCGTCGGCTTCCCGAGAATCGAAGCGATCGCTGCACCCTTGGAAGGTTCGCCGATGGGTCTGAGGGTGTTCGCCTCCAGTCCAGCAGGGTTCGGAATTTCGAAGGTGGCGCCTACGGATGGAAAAAGCTCTCTGTCAAAACACCAGTGTTCGATTCTGGGACGACGCAGTGGGCTTTCCGATCCGCTGAACCGCACCGAGTACGACCAGACACCACGTCGAACTCGGAAAGCAAAAATGATCAGCCGTACAGAATTTCTTGGAGCCACGATCACGGATCGTGGCGCCGTCGCCAACTCGCGCAGGCCGAGTCACGGCTGCTGCGCCATCAATAATTGCGAATGTGAATAGCGAAACACCGGACGAAGAGCTCACTCACCACTCAGACTCCCTGCTAGGAACAAACAGCACACGAAAATTGAAATAGCCTTGTTCATTTTGGACACGCGCGAAGAACTCGTTCGTGTTACGCGTAAAGGACCTAATGGAGTGCTTCAAGACAAACGGCTCCTTATACGCCATAGCAGAGGACTGTAAATATTTACGACCTGCTTCGGCGCCTTGTACGAGCGACGCTGCGCTAATACATCGAATCTTCATCTGTTTGCTCTTCCCTTAGTACTTTTCCTCCTCCGTTCCTCACTGATTGGCGTAGGCACGCTGTCGAAACACTCGTCCCTTCAGAACAGCGGGCGGTGAGAGGACGCAATTTCGAATAAAACTCATATGACTCTTACTCGTGTTTCAGTATCCCCGCAAACGGCGGCTCGCAACTCCGGGGACTGCAATTTCGAGGAAGATACATGCGGCTGGGTCAATCCCCATCCCGCGGACGGCTTCGACGACTTCGATTGGGCCCGCCAGTACAGCTACGGTCTCAATGGGCCGTCGATAGACCATACTCGGAAGCGTGCGGACGGTAAAATCCTCTGCTTGTTCCGAAAAGGCATTTCATAATAATCCAATTAGACTCTCTTCTTGGGAGCGACCTCAGGACCCCATCATAATTTAGGAGCAGACGAAAATATCTGCCATGCTATCTCGCTGAATTGATCCGCGACAGAGCGCACCATTGGCTGCCGCCGATTCCGAGCTCCCATCGATTCCCTTCCAGGATACTTCATGAACCTGATGAGCAATACAGCCCTGCCAGCCCGAGGTGGCTCGAAGGCATGGCTCATATCGCCCAAGTTCTCAACGGACGCCGCGCCGCGTTGCATGGCATTCTACTACTACATGTACGAGCGTACGATAGACCCCTCGGGTCCGGCACTGGGTTCTCTACGAGTCCACGTTCTCCACCATCCGCTCGATGGGCCGAAAAAGCCTCTGACAACCGTCTGGAGGCTGAACAATCATCAAGGTCATCGTTGGCTGATGGCAAGGTATGACGACTTGAATTCGTCTCTGCGTTATCTGCCGACTCAGCAGTCCATCTCCTAAACCCTTATCGGAACCACGATAATCCAGTCACGCTGTCGCCGCGACCGGCTTTGTTTTTTTTTTATCTCAAGCTCGCGTTGTCGGCGATTCGTTGCCGCGTTTAGAGAACACTGTCATAATTATTTAAGGTCTCCATAATGTGTAATGACGTCACAGTGACGTCATCGAATCTCAAACATTAGATCATCGGTTCCGGGAGATGGCTTTGCCACGTAAAACCGAATCTCGGATATTTTCCTGGCGAAATCGATAGCTCTTCGCCTGCGTTCGTCGAATTCTGCTCGATGAGGGCCATCGCGACGGAAGAGATTGTTCCTGCCATTGGACAGCCGGATATATGTACTTACATACATCGAGACGTTGCTCCGCGCGGATCGGGATGAATTCCCCTCAACGAATCTTTGATGAGTGTCCTCGTTTGCATTGCAGGTCCCCGATCCGAATGCCGGATGGCATGCCGATCTCGGATCCCTATCAGATTATCATTGAAGGCATCTGGGGCCACGGACGTGTGGGCTATGTGGCAATAGACGATATCAGCTTCTTCGACGGAGATTGCACAAGTGAGCGTACTCATATACGTGCCTGAGCTGGTGGAAGCCGATGGCGGAAACTTTTCCACCATCTCGTGGGCGACGCATCGCTGCATAAGAGCTCGCTGAATCTTCGAGAATCTACCGATCACGTATCGACTCGACTGCCTTATGGAATTCCTCGTCGTTTTCTCAAGCGATATCGTTCCATACCTTGCAGCGTTCCCGGAAAAAGCGGCCGCCGTACCTGGGGAATGCTCGTTCGAACGGGATATGTGCGGATGGACGAACGCGACTGGTATCCTGAGCAAGGAGCAGCAAGCAGCGCAGGCGCTACAACTTTCGAAACAAATTGTTCAGATCAGACCCTTGAACCTTATCGGTCGAGGTGGAATCTCCCCGAGAGCTTCACTCACGTGGAGGCTCGCCTCGTCCGTTTCGAGGCCTGCCAACCTCCAAGATCATACTTACAGGGCTCCGAGTGAGTTTCTTTCTGCCGCGCCTCCAGACCATAGATTATAGCTCCCGAGCCCAGTCACGGTCGAGGGAACATCCGCAAGGATCGGGTTCAGTTTCCGAGGGGAAAATTGAATCTTTCCCCGCCCGCTCCCAACTATGCACCTCAAACTTTGTTTCTTGGAAAAATTATTCTCGAAGCCTTGCGCCGAATTTTTTTCAAGTTTTTCCGAAGTTTCCCTTCCTTCTAATTTATTTCGGATCGACGGATACCTTTGATGTGCGTCCTAGGATCCCGCTCTGCTCTCTCGAGCGAGGTCTCAACTCCGGTTTTTCGTGCCTCTATGTCGGAGAAAAGACTCTTTCTGAAGCCAGGTTTGCTCGTCGGACCGTGCGCTGTATGTTAATATCTTGACTCCTTACAAAAGACACAAAGCGCAGTCGTGAAGGCTTTTCTCCGGCCCGCGTGTATGTAATCGTGGCTTCTATGAAAGCAACCGTCGGCGTCGTCGTTGGTACGAGTCGCAGAAGCCGCCGGACTCGAAACTCTCCTCTCGTTTCGCATTCCTTTTTCAATCGCGACCCCATGCTCGAACGTGACACGCGAAAACACACAAAGCCCCAACATACGCGTCTGTTGTTACCGAGACGAGTCTTTGATGCGGCACGTTCAAATGAACTAAAACTTATCACCAACATTCCGGAGAGGACACAGAAGCCTCTCGGATTGGCGTTAAACGTCACGTACGACATGCTCGATTTCAAAAGGGAGTGCGACTCTGCTGATTACACGGCATCGCCCGGAGACTCGCAGTCGGTTCGCCGCATTTCCGCTAACCGTGGCCGTGGCAAGGACCGTCGCGCGACGAGCGCATTCTAGAGACACGATCTAGTTGAACTCGCGATTGATAACTTTGTTCGGAGTTTGCGACGGCCTGGGTGTCTGTGAGCGGCCAAAGAAGCTACAATTTTTTCCCTCCAGCCGGATACATTTTCTTCGATATTTTCAATCAGAACGCGGTCCAAAATCCGATTCTGCGTTCGACCGTGGTCCAAGCCGTAGATTCGGAACCTGATCGATGCGTATCGTTCTGGTTCGCGCCTTTCGGACGGGGAGAATCATCCACACTGACTCTATACAGGTACGGTCTCCAAGTCGCGAATCCCATCTCGCGGCTCACTCCTGGATTCTTTCCCATCATGAAAAATATTCCGGGATGGAGGAACTTGGTGAATACTGGATTGATCGATCGATTGATTTATTGATTTTGTCTCGCAATCTTTCAGAATCGAGCCTGAGATCACGGAAGAAGATACTAGGATGATACTCTGGAAATTCATCAGCAGACGTTCAGACACACAACGACCCGATTGGAGATATGGACAAGTGAAGATTCCTGCTGATAAACCATTCAGGGTATGTTTGTGAGTCCTCGGTCGGAGCGATCGATGAGTTTGGAGAAAATTCATCGATCGCATACCGAGGGATTCCCCACGCCATGCCGCATCTAACACACGCAGTGATCGGATCCGATCGTATCGCACCTCGATGCTGTGGAGGGGGTCAGGCGGATCATACCACCCTGGCGGCGACAGAATGTTCGTCCCGGGATCGAACATGAAGTCTGGTTGGGTCCGCGTTTTTCCATTTCCCTCCCCTGCTTATCGTCTTTCCGATTTCCAGATTCAATTCGAAGGCGAGGCGAATGACGGTGGTTTCGCTCTCGATGACATTACGTTTTACAACGGTGACTGCGAAACGAGACCGAGCAACGCGGTTGTTGCTCCGCCCGAGCCCATATGAGAACCTGGGGCTGAATTGCGAACTGGGACACCGAACTCAAACATTCGAAAAATTGCTCGTGATGGTCGATGCTCATCAATCATTGTACTCTATGGAAACATTTTCTGTACATACTCACTGTTGGATATCGTTGGTTTTTTACAATACAGGGAGGAACTCCCATTTGTCCCATCATTTCGGGCGCGTCCTTCACCGTCATTTGTCATGAGTAATTTAGGGAATAGCATCTCTGGTCATCTGGACTGCTCTGACGCGTTGTTCGTGGTTCCGGCTAACGGCATTCCAGCACGCTGAAACTCCATCAGGTGGAGCTTAGAGCTGGCTCGGCGCTCAGCAAAGCCCATCTGGGCTCCAGTGCCGCTTTCCTGAATTCTCGTGGTTTCGGCCTCTGGCCGTGAGCTACCCCCGAATCCTGGCGTCGTTCACGCGTCTTCGAGAACCGCATCGGGGATCCCTCCAGCATGGCTGCATGCCATTGTCTTCATCGTATGAATCCGTCCATCTCGTCTCGGAGAAGCCTCGTGCTTGAGACGCTCCCCATTCGAAATGGGGAAAAAAAATCCTTTCGTCTTCGCCGGATCGGTCCGACCCTAATACGTGGCCGGAACAGTCTGCCGTATTTTCTGAGATCGGCCAACCAATGAAGTTCGGCCCTGTGACCCGAGAAGGAGCGTCTTAGGGAAGCGAATCAGTCCTTAGGGCCCATTCGCCCCGGTCCGCCGCGATCGACTGTTCTTCGAGCAGGGAGTGAAGAGTTGATAGACTTTGACGGATGTGCTCACCTATACGAAGAACGTCGACACGAAGAGATTTTCTCTCGTTGAACGTCACTGAACGCGGCCTGTTTGTCGGGGCGAGCATCGAATAGATATTCCCTTCCGTGGAGGCATATCGGAATTGATGAACGCCTAATTCTCTCAGCACAACTATCCTGTTTGGCAGATAGGGACGGTTCGATAGGGAGTCTACGCTCAGAATTTCCGCTCGTTTTCATCGTCTATAGCCCTGTTATCCCGGGAAGGGCTCCTTATTTTTCCATCAACGTCCCAACACTGCAATCCAAGTTAAGTTACGCCTATTCCGCTTGATTACGATCCGGCACCAAGTAGAGCCGGCTGTGAATTCCTAAGCAGGTCATGAATATCATTGAGCCTGATGAAGGCCTTGCGAGAGAGCTCCGTCGAATCATGGAAATTGTCAAGGCTTAGACTGAGGTGATTATTAGCTCGTTCGGAAGGTGCGTGACGCTTCTCCGAGGTCTATGAATCTCGCTATTCCGATACCAAACTCGCAACGAAGCTCCAAGTGATCGAGCCACCGTACAATGGTGGTATCCCTCAATGAGTAGGCAAATGGGTGGCCGGCCTGCCGGCCTTCAATGGAGATCGCGGATGCCATCGGAACAGGTAAGCCGCGTGTCGGCGTATATGTAGAGAAATAGCCGGATACACTGGACGGACCCGAGAAGATCGGTTAATCTGTTCGAGCATGGAGCGCTGTTCTCGAAGCCCACCCGTTGACATCCTGTTCTCCTAGCTCTCGTAGTCCAGCATGGGACTATCGACGTAGACCTCTGTCCGGAGGATAAAATCAGAAGACGTGTGTGTCAAGGAGATGGTTCGGTCCTGCTTCTTGATGAAATTTTGACGTGCCGTCGAAAGCGGGAATCAAAAACACGGTAATCTACCATTCTTCCGATATTAGTCCCGAGCATAACTCGGGGAGAGAACTGCATCGAAATTGAGCGGTTTCAAAGTTCGAACGCTGAAAACCTCCGCCCAGGTAAATACTTTTCTCGAGTCTGAGGATGACGTCTTCCCTCGCGCAGAGTCGTGGCGGAGCTCATTCGGAGATGAATTGTCGACCGCCTGGATGCCGCCTCGGGTCAGTCACCGCGAAAATATGCGATGAAGTGATCAATAATCTCGATCCCGAAGACGCACCCGAGTCTTATTTTCAAGAAGGAGCGGGAAATAATCAGCACTGGAGTCTCGAGGTCAACGCCCGCTAATGAGGCCTGATTTCGAGAGCCGAGAATGGAAACCCCGAGAAATCCAATTCGGGGGGCTAGATGATCTGAATTGGGGGTTTCCGAGAAAAAGCACATATCATTAGACTCCCCTGGAGCGCCTTGAGTGAGTGATCGGTATATTCCATGAATCGGAAAAAGCATCAGACCAATCCCCATACGACACAAAACCTCCGGATAGCAGGATTATCCGACTGGAAGACTAGAGCTCCTCTCAAATGATCTTCACTGCAGTATTTCATCGGATGGAAGCTGATCAAGAGACATTGCTCCTATCCGTTCTTATACCGACATCACAAGCGTATCCGGCCCTCGAATTCCGACAATCGCTCCGAACAGACTCGATATTTCTCGTAACAACCTAGAGACGGGTGGAATTTGTAATAGTGGGCCCCAAGCGCGAAATCGTCGCGGTACCGTGGAGCCGATGCCGCATCGGATGGAAAGAGATCGCGCTCATTGAATCCCGCTCTGCGCCGGGATCGATGGTTTCTGGTCTCGCGTTGAATCGACAGTAAAATTTCGGGGATCTTCGAATGAACCCTTGAGTCTTGGAGCCGCGGAATCCCCCCAGATTACGAGACCGTGAATATTTCTTTGGATAAGTTACTCTATCTTTCCGTCTCGTTCAATATTCTTGTTCCACCTGGAGCTGGTGGTGTGCAATCCTCAACTCCCAGATCCGAACCCTCCATTGAGCAGTCCCATCAGTCAGAGCTGGAAGCTAGCTGATTGTGACCGTCACTGACTTTTCGGACCACTGACGAGGCTATCGCTGACTACAATAACTCTTTGAGGAGTCACAGCCTATAAGTCGGGTGGAACCGTGAGACATTCGTTCGGAGCATTCCTTCGCAGAACCGCAAGCGAGATGCGTCGCACCCACTGTTGGATGTCAGATTCTCGAGCTCACCACGGAGAATATGCACGGGTCTCCGGAAACTTCCGCTCTTTGGCAAGGAAAGAGGTCCAGAACATGCTAATCGGAAATTCCGATCGACGTCCAGCAGATTGGAACGTTATGCTCGTTATTTGCGGGGAATTCGTCGAGAGAAGCTCGAGCCAGTTTGATTCAGCATCGAATGCCAGGAATAAAAGTGAATGCCCGCTAGTTCTTTTATTATATAAGAGTTGCGACGGCACTAGAATGACAGAGACAATTCTTCTGTGACGCGATTCAAGGTTGGCGAACCCGAGTCTTAAATAACGGACACGCAAATCCTGAGGAGCTGCGGGCTCACGCAATAAGCTACGGTCAAGGCGGAAAAATGTGGACAGAATACAACGCTCCAGTGATTATCGGATTATTCACCTAGTTCTCAGGGGATGCGAAGGTCGATGACAGCTTTGCCAAAGCTTCGATTCCATCGAGAACGGCCACTAGAAGGGGCCTCATTGAATCCCGGCCCTGGCTTGGGCGATTCTAAGATCGTCTGAGAGGTTGAGGACGCTTCATCAGCACCGTAGTATCATGTGCTCTCGAGACCGGACTCGATATGGAGCTTCGGAGTCATTATATGATATGCGCTTTCTCTAATTAACAGGTGGGGGAGGAGGTGGGTGTTAACGGCTTTCGATAAAGATCGCATAAGCCTTCGGAGGAGGCGAACCGTGAGTCGGCGCTGCGATATCGTCGAATATGCTCGAGGGACCAGAGCATCTGGCTAAGTATGCGTGAGCTCATAGCCGAGAATGAGCGCGAGCTTCGGGAGGAGCATTTCCGAACCGGACTCCAAGGGGATTTGGAGCCGACGAGCCAATGGTCCGAGACGCGGCGGCATTTACAGCTATATATCGACGTGAGTGCCACCGCGTTAGGCTTGGTGGAGCCTGGAGTTTCTTCGCATTATTTTCTGCTTTGAAACAAGTAACGAAGAATGAGCATCACGAACGAGCCTTCCTCGATATCCACGCAGTGATTCCCGATCATACGGAGACAGAGAGCCCGAGGGCTGACGTCTGTTCTCGTCACACGCGTCCTGAGCCGCATCATGGAGCTCGCGCGAATTCAACGGAATAATCAAAGGAGGCAATTCAGGAAATAGAAGGAAATTTTTTTCCGGTAATGAATGAGCGGCAATACTGAAAAAAATCCTACGAGATGTCTAATGGAATAATGATTGGTCCCGATGTCGGGGAGCGCTGTGGGGCGTCGATTGAAGGGGGTAAACCAAGCTCGACATCGGTCGGATCTCCCGAGCGTTTTGGGGTCACGTCCGGCGATTGTCGCATGGATTGCACTTTCGAGCTATATAAGTATCGCTCAGCTACTTGACGAAGCCTCTAGCTGCGCGCTGTCCTAATCGCCCGCTGAGACGTTTGCTCCTGTGATCCAAAGAGAGTTCCCTCGATTAGCTCGGTGTCTGACGGACTATGTACCAACCGAGCAGTTCCCGAATTGCACTCTGTCCCAACGGCACTCTGCGACGATTAATTGTAATGCAACGGATGCGCTCTCCCAATCGCTGTAGAGCGTATCGCCAGATTCCACGTCCGAGGTGTATAAATCGATGGACGGTGATCGTCGTCGATTTCTCCCGGTCGACGAGCGAAAGAAAGTGCGGGACATCAGTGGGACAAGTGGGAACATCAGGCAAGCCCAGAAATCGTCAGGATACACATCTATTTCAGAATCCGAGCCGATTTCTTCCGCGGGCATTCCATTTTTCCATCGTAGGTAATCCTACCCATTCTCGTTGCTACCCAAATGGAAATAAAGGGAAATGAGGTGCCGATCATGGTGGAGCCCTCTCGAGCAGGCTCTTTGTCTCGACTGAAATGCATCGACACCCATCTCGAGCCATCCTTTCTCACTGTGTCCTGGCGGGTGATGCCGCGTCGTAGCTTTCTGATCGACCTTGTGCCCCTCACACGCCTGACGGCGCGCCACCAGAAGCTTTGCAGGAGTCCTTCTGCGGCAAAACTCACTTTCATACACACACTGACAGAAACTACCGATGGGGACCGAACGAACCGAAGTGGAAGTGCCGATCGAGAGTTCGAAAGGACGTTACGAAGATTTCCGCCGAGGTCTGACTCTCGCCGGGGACTGCGGTTCCACCTTCGAGAAACCTCCCTGGTTCGTTCCCGAACTCTATGAACACGGCAGGAAAGTGCTCTGGGACAACTTGTTCGTGTGAGTGCGTCGGTCTGCGAGATTTAGGAAAAAGTTTCAGGAATTCGAGGGATGAACGAAACTTAGCGAACTGTCCGTGAATTCTTGCAGAGCCCTGTGGTGTCACCTGGCTGGCTTGATAATTGGTGTCACGAGTTTCAAACCCTACACAGTTCTCCTGAACAATGGCAATCACTTCAGTCTGCGCGCATTGGCTTGTCGTTACGTGTCGACCACGAGAGCAGTACTCAGCTGGTACCGCAGTGATGTCTTCGATCCCAGGTCTGAAGGTTAGTTGCGATATCTGCGTGTCGGATCTGCGCCCCGCAATGCGATTTCTTCTTGTCAGTGATCCTTGCTGAGCGGGACACTCTCTCGGTGTTCCGATGGAGCGAAACCGGTATCCTTGGGTCTAACATCGGCAATGGCGACCTCACGAAAGTCGACATATCTCTCAGGTCACAAGAGTGTGCGTCGGGTGCGCGCGATGCATTTGGCTGCCGATCGATACATGCAGAAATTGGAGCCGCTCGAAAACGGGGAGCAATGGATCAGTCAGTATTGGATGGGAGCCACGCAGACTGCATTCATACAACTCATGATCACGCATCCGGAGAAACTCGGGCTGCGCCATCTCTCCGACAAAGACTTAGAGAGCATCATCCACTACTGGAGATGCATCGGTTTGTAAAATTCAGGAGTTTTCTCACTCGATCGGGAAAATTCATTTTCTCCACGTATAAGATGAATTATTAGAGCGCGAATAGAGGGAAGCAGAATTAAATGAGATGCATCTGCGAGGAATCCGTGAGTGAAGAGCGATTCCTCATCGAGCGAATCTTATTCGTGAGTAGGTTGTGCGCGCCCCAGAACAGTCAGTGTATTCAAGCATGTTTATCATGTTTCTTTTTGTGAAGGTTACCTCCTCGGTATTTCCGATGACTTCAACGTTTGCTCTGGAAGTCTCGATGAATTTAGGAAATTCACGGAAGAATTGATTCGACACGAAGTCCATCCTTCGATGCTGACAGCACACAAGGGTCAGATGAAGCTCAGCGAGAGCATCATCGAGGCTCTGCTCGCGGTCGCGCCGAGTCGCTACATCAAACTCACCTATCCCGCTTTCATCGCATTCTTTGCGCAAGTGAGTACCAACAGATACATGACTTGACGTTCGGATGAAGCCTCCTGGATTGATCCCGGAAAACATGGAGTGGGACGGAAATCATAGACTGAGATCCAAACATTGAAGGTCCTCGGCGTCCACTACGACCGAGAGCTGAAGAGGAAGGACCGCTTTTGCCTATGGATTCTCACGACCCTTTTCGAGGGACGTATCCTATCGTACAGAGTCATGAGATGGCTCATTCGGAAACGGATACTCGACCGACTGGACACCGCCTCGAAGGCAGACACCTCGAAGATATGCGATGAACTGATCGACGATCTCGATTCCAAGGAAGCACCGAGCTGTCCCTTTGTGCGAAAAAATAAAATAGTCAGCATTGAAGTCAGCCCGCCGCGCGGCGAACTCCTTCTAGAAAGTTCCCGACCTCGAGAGTCCGGAGCAGGAGCACTACGATATCGAAGGAAACTTATCGGACGAGTTAGATAAGAAAATCTGTGAATGTTGTATACATTGTGATATAGATGTACGTCTTGTAAATAAACCGAGGCTGATTCTGCGAATCAATTGCCAAAATATTCCTCTCATGGAACGGAACTCATCAGAGAATCTAGAGACCGATATACGAAGCCTTCCTTGTGTCTGGGCGCCGGGGTAGGAAGCCGGGAGATTCTTGGAGTGAATGCTAATGTGGATTCTTGTGGGGGACTTATCGAATACGGGGCGATTCGGCCCTGTCGGGGAGGCAGCTGCAGGTATGTACCGGACGGTGATTTTATCGAGCAGTGTTCTGTTTTCGAAGCGGTATTCTGTGTCGGAATTTCGGGTGTTTAAATTCTCGTTTCTGTGCCGTTACGCCGCACCGTTAGTGGATCGTGGCCCCTGGCGCCCGCGTGGCCTTGAGTTGAGTATTTGACGATGGTGACGACGTCGGCGATGAACAACAGTTGCGCGGGCATATTCACTGCGGGAAGATTGACACGTAACGCCTCGCCGATCCGCTGCGAAATGATGAACTTTCATGAACGCTTCCAACACCTAATCTTGCGGAAGCTGCCACCCACGGCATGACGGCGCGCGGAAGCTGGGGCGCGTTCGGAGTTAATCGAGTTCCGTTCCGGAGAACTGTTCCGTGGAGAAAGTCGATTAGAGCAGCCTGCATCGAAATCCCAGGGATCATTGTGTGCGAGCACATGACGCTTGCTCGTTTTGCTCGCGCAAACATTCGGTGCAAATTTCACATCGTCGTCGAAAGGCCTACAGCCAGCTGACAGACAAACGAGCCTGCTGGGGACTTTCGCTCAGACGGGGTTAGTGACTTTTTATCCGGGAATTATCGACATTGGCCCGCGCTAGCCGACCTTCACAGGACACCCGTACGCAGATGCCGGAAGCAATTTTGCCGGAATCCGAACGAACATCTGATTTCCTTGAGAGACGATCTTTCACCAGAAAATTAAAAGTTCTCCGCTCTTCATCCTGCAATCTAATTGCTTCACGGAAGAGGCTCTCCGTCGCGATCTGTCGGCTGGGCGGATAACTGGCCGACAGGTCGGGGTATCGGAGTCCGCGACCCGATCCCACAGCGACCGGGACCTCCCAATACGTGAATAACGTCACCGCCTGACGCCTGCGGAACAGAGACTGTCCGTCGTGCACCACGGGTCATTTTCGTTACATCGCTGCGGCTCGACGAGCTGGAGCTGAAATGGGCGACGGAGCTCGGTGAAAGCCGAGCTGACGCTTTGGCGTCGACCCGACGCAGCTTGTCCGCCGCCAGGAACGAGAAAGCAATTCATCGAAGGGGCGATCAAGCAACCGGCGAAACTAAGCTGGCCCGGCTCTATCATAGATTGAGTCCGGGGGGCGAAACGAAGCGCAATGCAACCTGGAAAAATGTAGAATTCTGAAGCTGTTTTTACAAGGTCGGGAACTGCTGCTCCATATCCCAGCCGTATCGGCCTCAAATTCGTTGAGCAATGTTTGCCTTTAGCTCAACAGTTCTGGCAACGGTAACTACTTCATCGAGGACTTGACAGACAGAAACGTCGGTGATGGCGATGTTGCCGGTCGTGATGGTGACGACGATGATAACAATAAAAAGTATTTCTCTCCTAGAACGATCGAAAGTTGTATTTTCGATGTATTCAGGAGGTCACAAGGACTGAAACGGGGAAGCTTCCACGGACTGCGCAGTCACTCACGCGAAACCCCAAATTTCTCCTTCTATTACGGTGGCAGGAAAGGCCACAGCGACAAAGGCGTCTACGCCACTTCAACAACACTCACAGACACACACACACGCGCACAGAAAGCACGGAAACTTCAGGGTCGAGCCCCTCAGGTGAGGGCCTGCGATCTGCGGCTCACCGGCGCGCGATGGTGGATTCAGAAAATCTCTCCAATTCGCCGTTGACGCTACAGAATAGTAGACAACTTCCACGGATTCGGATTGGCCGAGAAAGTTTTTCTGAACGTTTTCGATCAGAGTCACTCGGTTTTCCTGAGGGATTGGACCTCAGGGGTTCTAGTCAAGAAGGAAAATCTAGTCGCGCGGTTCGGTGACGATGTGCCAAAAGGAAACCATTGATGAGGTCGTTGTGCAAATTGAATGTGATCGTCTAACCTGGGAGAAACTGCAGCAAGGTAAAACCAAAGATGGAGATTGTGGGAATTCTCTGGAGAAACCGAAATGGTTCGAAGAGGAGCAGTATCTCCGCGGACAGAAACTTCTCATGGATAATCTGCTTTGGTGAGTGTATATCGAAAATTTGTCCGGACGATTCTGACAGGAATCTTCGGCAGCACTTCTAGCACAGGAAGAGGGTGTTGACCGAGGCTTCCGAGGCTGCGGGAAGAGCAGGCCGAAGAACGTGAAACGCTAAGATCGTTTAATTATTTTCAAGCTCGATGTTCTGTCATCTCGCTGGTTTAATCTTGGGGGTCGCGATCGAAATCCCTTACACCGTCCTCGCCAATACCGGAAATCACAGATCCCTGAAAGATTTGGCCTCGCGGTACCTCTCGACGAGCGATAAGATCATCAAATGGTATTCGAGCGATATATTCAATCCTACGACAGAGGGTGAGTTTGTGCCGCTCTCTTCCGACACGAATGAGCTGAGATGGTCGTTCCAAGCTTTCGGGCTTCGCGGCAAATTCGCTCAATGGAGTTTTTGCGCATCATTCAGGAGCGAAGAGCATCGCGATGGTGCGGAAAATGCATGCGGCCTCTCACCGAACCATGAATAGATCTCACCCGAAACCCGACGCCAACGAGCTATGGATGTCTCAATTCTACATGGCCACAACCCAAATTTCGTTCGTTGGTCTCATGATGTTTTGCCCCAAGGCGGTTGGGCTTGGACACCTCTCGAAGGCGGACAAAGAAGCGATCATGCACTATTGGCGTTGCATAGGTGAGTTTTCTCAATGCGAAGCCCCGGCCTTCTGTGTCGATTTCTCACGGAGCCGCGCGACTTTTGTGTTGTGGGTCGATCCAGGTCGATCTGATGCCAGAATCCGAAATCCGAACGCGAGATTTTCTCAGGATACCTCCTCGGTATATCCGACGAGTACAACGTGTGCGGTGGATCTATCGACGACCTCGAAACTCTGACGCTGGCGTTCGTGGAGAACCTGCTCCGGCCATCAATGCTGGAAATCAGCTCGGACAAATTTAATATGACTCGAGGGATCCTGGACTCGGTTTTGAAGTCGATCGGGAACAGATTCGTAACGAGGAACGGCTTCATCGCGTTTTGGTGTCCGGTAGGTGCTGATGTCAGGATTGAAAGATCCGTCAAAAGTCCGATGTCGACCGTCTCGCCAATAAGAGAATCTTGGGAATAACTTTCGGAGAAAAACAACGCATTGCCTCCCTCTCATTCCAGATAATAAAAGTGCACTTCGACGAAAAGCTCAGCGTTGGTGACCGTATCTGCGTCCTCCTCATGAAATTGGTGTACTCCAGCGGAATCACCAACTTTGAAATTGTCCGACGCTTCCTGAACTATCGACACAAGCAGAGATACCTGAGTGCCTTTGCGAGTCCCAATCGACTATCGGACTCCTGTCTGAATGATGTTTACGGCGACATTCCGATGTGTCCGTATCTGGTGAAGAAAAATAGCTGATAGAGCTGAGGGTTTTCGCTCGGCCAGCAGGTGCTCTGATTTGCCGGAATCCGAGTCGGTCGAAGGATCAATCCAATCTGAGGTTGAATGATCGAACTAATCGTGCACATCTGTGATATGCTCCCGGTCTTTATCTTTCGCGTGCAGAAAATTTCCCGGCAACTCCCACTTGCGGGAAAGCCAACCTCTGGAACCTCAGCACCTTGCACGAGTCGAGCGCTCGTGCGCCGACGGAGGCCATGAGAAGAAGGTTTCACGCCTCTGGTACCTATCACAGTCGTCAAAAGATCTATTCTAGGACTGCAATGTGTGTAAAGTTTTCTATACACATTGCAGTATCATGAACCCAAGCTTCGATCAATAGAATGCTCCCATTAAGTTCGGGGTTGACGGTCGGTCTGAACGCCAGGCCAGGTGAACGACAATCTATTACCTGAGCTCTAGGATATCGAGTTCATGAGTTGGCAGTTTACTCAACCGATTCTGCATCTCGAATTCCAATGGACCAAGCGATTGAGCATGCAATATCAGGCTTGCAGTCGCAGCTCATGTGAAAGTATGGAGTGATCCGACACATTCAGTGGCCGCGAACACTTCCTGTAGATATAGACGCTCGATCCACATTAACTCACTACTGTGTACAACTCTGTATAGAAACGTCTGTCTGTCGTCTTTCTGCCGTTGTAAATAAAAATGAAAAGTTTATGATCGTCGAACCCCTAGGAGTCTCGTTCGTGACTGGCCATTCTCGCCCTCGGAGATCCTCTCGTCACTCCTCGAGTGGAACCCATCGTCCCGCATCACTTATTTGCAGACACGGCAGATACTTGTTTTAGATGCCAGCGGCCTCCGGCACGACTTCGTTCGAGCGAAGACGCGAGTTCTAGTTGGAATTCGGAGAGATTCATTGTTCACATCCTTCGGGGCCGGAGAAGGAAGTGGTCCATTCACTCGATCCCTGTGGAGGACCGTGTTTCCTGAGCTCATACGAAAGGATCCCGCAGGTCGTTACAGGTCGAATCGGCTAGAAGATTCGCCAAATCGAGCATTGACGTCCGATACCAACCCTGAAGGATAGAATAGCGAATGTGAGCTGATCCACCCACGTCGCCTGACCGCAAGGGTGAGAGCCTCGCACGGTGTTTTCCCGAGACCCACGCGGGGCGACCCGGTCAAGCCTCTTCGTACCTAGTTAGTGCTAGATGATAACTCCCGCTCCGATGCTTACTATTGTAACAGAACACAGCAACAAGTCTGTAGGAGAAGAGCTTCCCAAATCATTGCAGTAATACTATATCTGATATCTCCGACAAGGACGAGTATCCGGTATTCACAGATAGAGTGGAGAGCTATTAGGCTTGACGTTTTTTTTATAGGGAAATAGGCTTACATCGCGGAACCGTCCATAGCGGTACCGTCCCGGATTCCCGATTCCGTCATGCCCGATTCCTAGAGGTTAGGTTGGGGAAAAAACGGGCAAACATGACCATGAGGCGACCACCGACCACAGGCGACCGAGACACTTGAATTGGGCTAGGTTGCCGTCGCAGCCTAGCTTTCCGCTAGACATAGGTCGAAATAGCTAAGGAGTCCGAGGCGAAATCGACTAGCTTGAGGACGAAAGCCCCCGGAGAAGCCCTGATCTTTCCCCGCCGTCTCTAGGACCACGGTATCACAGGCTCGCGGTCTCCGGAGAGTTTCCCCACTCCGATCGTCTGCTTCGCGGATTCCGATCCGTTGACCGTCGCTGCTGTCGACCTATCGTGGTCACCGCCTTTGAACGAATTCTATGCGACGGGAAGTTCGAAGGGTAGTGTATAGTTGCTCTATCGTGTTGTCGGCAGAGATCATCGGCATCATTGTCTCTGATTTGCTGCTTTCGTACGTATGAGGGAACTCGTTCCCCTCTTGGAGTTCGATCCCGGCACAGGGCTCTTCGAGCGGACTCCGATCATGTTTGTCTCCGTTTGAGAGTAGGCCTGACATCTGCACAAAATACATAATTCCAGATATGGGGAGCGGTGCGCGACTGTCTTCCCTAACACTGCGAAGCTGAGAGTCGTAAATTAATCTGCCAAGATGCCGGATATCATAACAGCGGGGATAGCCGTCCTCTAGAGCAAAATTCAAGCGGCTAGCTACAGAGTGGGAAAAAAACTTCTCCATAAGCCGTGAACGGTACTATTCCCTCCCACGCGGCGAGTCCAGAAAGACCATGACGTGCCGCAGTACGTGGATCGTCTGCCGAGGGTCCACGGAGCCGTCAGAAAGAGAGTCATGTGCCTCGCGGGAGCGACAAGAGACCTTCCCGCGTTCTGTTTGGTGACGTTTTTGTTGTGAGATTTGATCAGCTGAAATCCGGTCATTCAATGGTGTTGGTGAAACTTTTGTTCTTCGCAAAGGCCAGAGAACTCACTGGCGTTCCAGAACGCGCGTTCGAAATCTCAGAGGGTCGTCACTCTTCGGACGATATCAAAGAGCGTATATCTCAGAGCGAACCCTCACTGAGACCAATTCTCGACAGTTGCATCATCGCTGTGGATTTAGAATACGTGGTGGATCTGGCCGAAATCACTGATCGCACCTCCGAGTTGGCCGTAGTGCCACCCGTTAGTGGTGGTTGAGATGTCGACTGAAGGTTGGACGAAAATCAGTTTAACGAGCGACCCTTTAGATGTCGGTGCCGCCTTATCGAGCGCGCGGTCATCTGACTGTGGGGCTATTTCTATATTCCTCGGAACCACGCGAGCGGACATCGTCGACGGCAAAAAAGTGGAGGCTCTCAGATACGAAGCCTACGAAGCGATGGCTCTTAAGATCATGCAAGCTTTGTGCGATCAGGTCCGGAAGATATACCCGGTGAAGAACTTGATTGTGTCGCATCGGACCGGCGTTGTCAAAGTCAAAGAGGACAGCATCATGATCATTTGCGTCGGAGGCCACCGATCGGAATCAATAAAGGCTACCGAATGGCTGATTAATGAAATCAAGGCGAAACTCCCTGTATGGAAGAAGGAGATCTTCGTGAATGGCCTTGAGGAGTGGATAGAAAATAAAGAGACTTTTTGGCGTGAATAAACGAATTCCTCAGGACTCGCGCTGTTTTCTCTCGTTCGGAGGTATCAAGAATTTCATCGTAGGAGGAAGAAGCGATTTCACTCTGTGACAGTGCCGCAGCTCATCAACTACTTTTATTCGCAGACATTCAATCGAGTCACTTAACACATGTTCGTCTAGGGGTCGTAGATATTGTTGAGAGAAATTTCACCCGCATAATTCAACAGAAAATAAAATCAACATTCTGGTCACCGTCCAGGAAACATGCTTTCTCCCTCCTCCGCTCGAAACCTCAGCGTTTGGTCTTCGCAAAACACAAGAAGCTCCGGATCAGTAGCATCGGATAGTAGTAACACATATTATGGGCCGAGATCCGCCGATCGATCTCTCTCTAGTCCATGAACTTCCTGTTGGGGTTCGGCCCGAACAGCTTGGCTCGCATTTGAGGCTGCATTTGAGCCGCTACGTGCTCGAGCCTCTTCTCCAGAGTGTTGGCTACCATGATTTTTCCGTTACGCGCATAGATTTCCACTCCTCCGCCACTGTAAGAACTCGGTCGATGAGCACTTCATAGTCATCATCAATTGCGGAAAGACTACACACGGACAGATGAATTGCCGGCCGACGGCTCACAATGCATGGGAGCGTGGAGCTGACAACTAGATCACATGCGATACTTACCACCTGTCGTTGAGGAAAGTCTTGGTGTCGACGACGACGTTGCACTTGCGGCCAGTCTTCTGCTCGAACTGCTGACAGACGCCACCTTTGAGTTGCTCAACGAGGCCGAGATCAGCCTGTCGGCACCGAACTACGACGCTCTGCAATAGGAAACGAAGCGATTTCCGTAAGTCGGAATGAGAAACACCGAAGCGCTTCCGGGACAATTGCCGGAGTTCCAAGTAGAGTCGTCACGAGCAACGAGACGTGGCGGATCGGGTGCTCCGCTGGCTACTCACCTCCTCAACAAGCTGAAGGAGTCCTTGAAGCAACAGATTCTCGACCAGGGCTCTGTAGTTCTCAGGCTTCTGCGTGACGGTCCCGAGCTGAACCCGGGCTTCCTCGAGAACGCTCTTGATATGATTTTCCTTGCACTTGAGTACTTGAAGTCTAGCGAAATTCAGCATTTTCGAGCTCTGGCTGCAAAATGGAAGAGGATGCTTCGAAATCGATGGCTTCCCGGCTGCTGTCGATGGAGGATCGTATAGCTTCTTCTGAGAGCGGACTTACATTTTACGTTGAAGCTCAACCTGCTTCTCGCGTTTCTCGTACTCTTCGTTGATTTTCTGACGAGCGTCAGTGACCAATTGACCTTTTTGAAGGTTGAACTCTTCTTCTGCTTTCGAGTCAATCTCATCAGCTTTTTCATTGGCCTCCTGCTCGATGAAGGCCATCATGTGCTGAATCTGTAATCGGATAGAGAGCAAGTCATATTTTAGCGATGCATCATCTCGACAGGATGGTCACGTGATCGAATCTTCCAGGGCTTCGGCCACTGAGAAAAGCATCCTCCTTCGTCTCCCTATCCACTCCAGGCGCCGGTTCCCCCCGCAAATGGGGAAACCTTCTGATATACTCATATGGGAGATACACATTCAAAAAGAGTCCAAACACACTGCATTCCGAGACCCGATAATCCAGATGGGAGTCTCGTCCATTGCTCACGTGATCGCAAGAGCGGAATTCTGTTACGGTCAGAAATCCCCGGATTTCGAGCGAAAACGACGTTGAGACATCGTGAATACTATTCGAACAGATCTTGACATCTCTCTACCGCAAATACAGCTCGCGGGAGAATGATGCTGTCCCCCGATGACAGGATACGTTCTCTCGACACCACGACATTCCTCCATAGCACTCTCGGGACCCACTTCAAGTCATCGAAACTCACCTGCTTCTGCACGTAGGGATCGGTTTGCGCCATCTTCAGTTGCGTGGGGGTTTCTTCCGGAAGATGAAGGGGATTCGACGCCGAAAGTTTCGGAGGCTGGATATTTAAGGCTCCAGAGACTCTACGGATGTCTGCCTTGGAGAGTGTGTTCCTTGCTGGCTGGCTGATGGCTGCCGCTGCTGGGACTGCAGAGAGAGAGCTGAATCCTTTCGGCTGTCATGTGACTCCGTTTGGCGCCGATATTTGAAATCCTTCTCTGATAGGGATCTTGCTAGGAATTCTCGACGTGAACTTTCGTGATCTACGGTGGCTCCGGAACTCTCGGAACCCCCACCTCTGATATATCTGAATATATGAATCTCCCTCCCCGAATAGACAAGGATCGATTGGTTATCTTGAACGACCAATCGAAATTCACGGAGCTATTCGCTCACAGACGTGTCCTTCGGCTCGGTCGCTCGCCAAAGCAGGGTATGAGCAGGGGTCCCCGATTGGAATTCCATTAGAATAGCGTCACTAAGATCCAGATGTTGTGTCCGATCACACGACACCCTACTCCTTCCAGCTGTTCCCTCATAAGGCGCATACACGGGTAGCTCCAATTAAAGACTAATCCTCGCGGCCAGAGAGCCTTCGGACCAGCCAATGCAGGTATTCAGCGGGACGGTTCCGAGATTGGGCGCATGAACAATACAGATTTCTCGTCATTTTTCTGGTTCCACTCTCGTGACGCAGTCTGCTCGGGTCAGCCAGCCCCGGAGCTTATCAGCGTAGGGGGGATCGTAGTGTTCGCGGAGACAACATTCTTTCAACATGTGGACCCGGTATCTCATTCGCTCGATTTCAATAAGCATGAGCTCCGGGTTCGAATTCGCGCGCAATCACCTATAGGTCCGCAGAGAGCTCATATCGATTCTTCCTTCTATTGAAAATGATATGTAGCATGCATTGTAGATGATAAGCATAAAGCGCACCGGATCAGCGTAATGCTCATCTGAACTTCGATTTTCATCCACGTATTCTAATATTCTTATCACACATTTGGAAGACTTCTGAGCTGCAACCCTCATGTTAGGATCGCATCAGCCACGCAGGAGCGTCCGATTACGGGAATTTCCTCATCACCAGTTTGAGTCGGAATTCGAAGCAGTCGGATCCTGCATCTATAATCTCCTATTGAACGGCGAAGAGAATTCTTATCTGATAACTTCAGGCTATCAGCATATGATATACGCATGACATTTCGCATGACAGGGCCTCTCCGAGCGATGCAGTGGACTTCAGTACAATTATTCCGGCAAGATTTCGATTTGTAGGCGTAGTCAATAGTGGCGGTGAACATTCACCGCTTCCCATGAGCCAGACGCAGCGGCCGTTTGCAGGCTTCTTCGACGCATCTAGGTGTCTCATTTCGAAACTCTAATGCCTCGTGGGCATAAGATGCTCTCAGCTTAATGCTAATAGGAATGGGGCTTCATTCTGTCGTCCCCACGGAAGGCTTCGGAGCGGAGAATTATATGAAACTCCTAGTCGTGATTTTTTTTTCTGTTCTTCCAGCAGATGTCCATTCTCCGCTCCTGTTCGTTTCCTACGATCTTGTGCGATCATCACCTACATGTATTGCAAGTTCGCTGAGAGCTCTTGGCCGAGCCCTGAGAGCGTCGCATGCATCCGTTACCGCGTCTGGAAGCTTCCTTGGGCGAACTCACTGCGGAAGAATTCACCTTCTCCAGATTCAGCCCGAATAAAATTGAAATCATCACTTCTGTTTTTTCTTCATCTTTATTTGCACCATGGTCTGAATCTATTCATCCATGGGATATGTAGACGCTACCGCTCATCGAGACAATATCGATCATCTGGAGTCGGCAACGAACCTTGACGCACTCATCTGTCGACTCGCAGAATCTGTGGCGATCGTCTGGTAAGATGTACTACCTTGGTGCTGATTCCGAGTGCAGCGGGGAGCCTCACAAAGCCATTCAGGAGGACGATGATGTAGTCGTGGATGTAGTCGACGACAATACACGCAAAACCCCGGGCCGCGGGGCCCTCCGTCCTTACCTGTGTGAGGTAGTGTGTCAGTGAGTCTATCGAGGTTGGACGCTCGTGGGCCACCAGCAGGTTCTCCATTGGGATCATAAGTTCGAGCTGAGATGCTGATTGAGGATGATTCTCCGCTTGAAGCCATTGATTGCTGAGGGGGAACGCAGCTTTTTAGAGAGAAGACAGCGGAGTCAATCGAAGCAGTCGGGAACATGAGGAATCGCTTTGACCACGGAATATCAGAGACTACCTAACGCACTCTGGGGAGAGACGCGTTCCCCCTGGAAAATCCGCTCATCCTACCACGCCACTCCTGATGGCGATCTCTTCCGGCCGTCGCCAGGGCGGGAGTTAACTCTATAGTCTCCGAAGTCTATGGAGAGCATGAGGAAAACGGAATTCCGATCCTGGGATCGACTGTCGATTGTTCGATTCCATGCCTTCATGGGGACACGCGATTCCGGCGGGAGCGTGGAGCTGAGATAATGCTGTGGAAAACTGAGCAAGTTGTAACAATGCTCAATCGAGCGAACAAAATCAGAAGACTCGCTCTGTGTGGCATCGACGGTTACATCAAGAGAATACTTTCCCCAGCGCTCATGCTTTTCTCGACCTCCAATGTAGCGAACGTGAGAGTTCCAAGGACCATTGAGCAGGACACCTGAGTCAATGTTGTGCGACAAGCCGCTCGGCGGTCCCCGAGTCGAGTCGAGATTCTCCGAGATGGATCTAGATTCTAGATAATGTTCCATCGAGCGTGGAGAATCGCTATTATACATATAATATATCGGAGGCCGTGATGTTATCCCAGTCATTACAACCGGTGGAGGTCATCTTCCAGAGAGCTTCACCAAACTCTATCGCGAGTTCTCAAGCCGACGGTTTTCTGCTGTTATGTTGCATCATGCCAGAACCACCTGTATTCAAATTCCGGACCATGGCTCAAGACAGAGCGAACCAACGAGATCGATCCCGAGACCCTTTCCCTTCCCTAGACGTACGTTGGTGCAGATATTCCGGACCACGCGATGACTACGACCGGATGATCCGATGATGATTAATCAGGTAATGCGACAGTATTTATGCGAAGCGAACTCCCCCGAGCGGCTGATCCTTGGAAACTTTCCGTCTTTCCCAGAGTTCATCGCGTGAGGGAATTCTCGGAGACATGCCTCAGATTTCCGAATCCGGATCCCATGGATAAACATACGGTCACCGGTCCGTTTTCGGAATCGACTCTCTTGGTCCCTGATCAGATCACCTGGACTCCTGTGATTTTCGCCGGAACTTGACCTATCTATTTCGTTGGCATCCGACCATGCACTTTTCTTCACAAATAAGCTCTGTCAGCTAAGACTTCCGAAACTGAAATTCTTTCTTCGGCCAAGCTCCACTGGAAAGTATCGACGCCAACGGAAGGCTCATTTTTAAAGCCTAATCCTGTTTTCATATGCATCGATGCCCTTCTGGAATGTCTAGTTGAGAGCAGGTCGCTTCGGCAAGAACAGACGCCACTGTCAGCTCTATTCATGCGGAACCTGGAGGAATGTTGTTCCATTGTGCTTTTCACTTTTTTCTGCCATCAGCTGGTCGACTGTTGTTGACTCCTGCGTGTCGAGTCTCCATCCCTTTCTTCTAGGGGTGGGGACATTGACACTGAGTCTCGAGCTCATATCACTTATTGGAGGTTGTCGATCACCTGCGCACTCACCTCCCTGTGACGTAGAAGTCGTCTCTCCGATATTTTCGCGGATTCCCTCTGATTTGAAATCAATGGGCTCGATACGATCATTTGGTGATTCTTGGCAAGATCGCTCGCCACTTCCCGAGGTATGTTCTCGCTATAAAATCGCAGCTTGTGATTTCAGTCGTTATGCATGAGGGGAACTTACCAACATCCACCTCGCATGCTCAGGGAAGAATATTGGCAGCCGATTGCGAGGTCTGTCGGTGTCGATCTCCATGACATCGCATTGACTTTTTTCTCATTCATTTCGAAACCTTGAGTTCCAGTTGCCCTTCGACTGAGTAGCTCTGTAATTGGTATTTGAAAAACGTCGACTTCATACACGTCAACAAGGCAAACTATCAATGTCAACTCCTGCGTGGAGAAAGAGCGATCAGTTTTTTCTCCGATTCTGCCCTGAAGACAGCTAGGTCTCAGATCGGGAACCCATGTCGGAGGTAGAAAATTCGGGGCAAGACACCATAATAATCGATTGACCGTGGGCTTTCTGGCGACTGGCTGCTACAAGAGAGGGAGTCCGATTACTCATTGCTCGGAATCTGCTGCACCCGGCTCGAGAATCATAATTTTAGAGAGGCAAATCTAGTCGCTTAACTGTCCGCGATTCAACGAGACTGAGATTGCTCGAATTCGGAACTAGAGATTACGTGATACCGTTATCCATCTGACTGAGCATGGTGATTTCGCGTTCTCGAGAATTCTCGACACGCGAAACCTTGCTGACGCTCGAGGATAGAAGTTCGATCGAAAGTTCTCTCGGAAGTGTGATGTGCTCTCGTAGCAAAGACCCGAGGCCAGATATCCGATATCTTTTCGTGCTTTCCGAGAACAGACCGCCCCCTATTTTCTATTGAGAAGTCAAGTCCAGCCTTCAGAGACACCGTGTCTTTCGAGTAAGCCTCACTGTCCTCGGGAGCTCCCAACGAAGGCGTCATCTCCTGCTTACATTGCCCCTCATGCTCGCTCGTATCGAATACGCTCTGCGATGACGGATGCAGCGGCGAAACCGAGGCGGCATTATTTTGCAAGAACCTGCAACAAAGTCGACGACGGTCGATCTGTTCTATGGAAGATTGCGGGGAGCTGGCGTTTTCTGGTTCCCCGAAACCACCGCGGCTGCCAACGGATGAATTGAATGCACTGAAATCCGATGAAATCCGGGAGAGGTATCTATATATTCATGATGAAAGAAAACAAGAACTCGGGATATCTTAAATTAAGTACAATTTCTTCGTCATTTTCTCTGGCTCGTCTGACTCTAATCGCCGACCACTCCAGATTCTTTCGTTATGATCTTTGCTTCGATAATATTCGGCTGTACAACGATCGTTCTCCCGTTATTTACAAGGACATCTGCTTGAAAAAAATACCAAGAAAATTCTGCGG